GAGCTTCACCTCTAGCACCTCCCTTGGATCCTTCTTGCTGTCCTCCCTCAGAGCTTTGTCTCTAAAGGCTGTGGGGAGCATAGTCTGAGCAGAGGACTCCTCCTCACAGCCAGCCAGCAAGGACTGATGGACTGCCACTGGCAAAGAAACACAGAGGAACACGCCACAGGTGACTGGATCCAGCCAACTGGGTCAGCTTGTCACAGGAAGCTCAGGGGAGGGGAGAGCCCCTGCAGCTGCTTCTGCTCGATGCTTACTGGGAGCTGGATCTTTCCTCTTCCCGAGAAAGACCAGCCTATGCCTGACCCTAACTTTGTGAAGTTGCAACAGAGAGTTCTTTTAGTTGTGTTAATCATCACTGCAAGGAGTCAAAGGTACACTAAGAGACCAAGTCTTTTGAGCTTGTCCACATGAAGGGAAAAGCTTTTGATTACTATCCAAGAATATGGGTCTTGAGTGAACTAGACAAGGTAGTCTTGTCAAAGGCTGGGGCTATTCGTTTTCTATCCAAGAGAACAACTACAAAAATAGAACCATTGTCAAATGGTTAAAGCAAAAAGGGTTTTAGTGCTAAGTTTTTCATTAAATAAAATTTGGTTTTTCCTTAAGGGGAACTAAAGTGGCTAAAATGTTATTAAATGCTTATATATACATTTCTAAGGAGGTAATGACCATTCCCTCCTTCCACCCCCAGGCCTTTAATGTGATTCTCAATCTTTAGAATACAGGAGCGCTTGTTAAAACACAAATTGCTGGGTCTCACCCCCAGAATTTCTGACTCAGGGCTTCAAAGAGGGGCCTGAGAATTTGCATTTCTGGCAAGTTCCAAGGGCCGCTAGTCTGAGGACCACACTCTGTGAACCACTGGGCTAGGTAGATAACAGAGCTCCCTTTAATCAGTAGTTAGTGGTTTGTACTAGGCATTATCTGAGGTGGTGCCGCAAATTTGCAGATGTTGGTGATTAGGGAACTAAGGATAAAGGCCCAAATCACAGAGCTGAAGGGATTGGGGATGGATGGAGGGGAAGAGCCCGGAGAGACAGAAGGAAATAGGAGTGAAGGGCAGACTGAGGAATTCATGCGAGAGGGAGAAACCCACCCTGACATCCATCTCATGGCCATGTGAAGTGACTGCTTTATTGAGTTTGATTGCTGAGGTGGTGACAAGAACTGTACCTAAAACAGATGGATAAGGCCCTGAAGGTTTTATTGTACTCCCTTCTGTATTAAATAGCAGAATGGACAAGTTCTTTGAACTTTCATAATGATACTCATTTTCCTTGACAGTGTGTATTAATTGCCAGATGGGGAACTCTTTCTTTTGGGCAAAGAAAGTCATAAAGATAAGCTGTGACAATTAAACGGCCACATCTCTTTTATTTTATCAGTATGGTTGGAATCTAAGTTGAACATGATAAGATGGACACAGCTTTTTCTTCTTCAGAGTTCTAAGACATGATTTTTGATGTCTAAGTTCACATGGAAACAAGGCAGAAAAGGATGCAACTTTGAAAAACCAATTTTTACATTCCATTTGGTTGCAATTATTCAATATATTATTTTGATTTTAAAAACTAAAATCTATATAGTTGGATAGTATATGGTCATGAAATCATTGGGATTTTTCCCTCCCACCTGTGGTCGCTGGCAAAAGAATGCCCGAGTCTATGTTAAGATCTACTTAAAAAAGAAAAAAATCATTTCAGTGAAATAGCAGTAAATAGGAACTGGGATTCCTTTTTCTATGAAATGTCAATAATTAGGAGAAATAATATTAAAATTCCCAAATACCTCCATGATAGCAATATTCAGGAAATAGTATTATATGGTAAACATTTTTAATAAACAGCAGCATAAAGTCATCAGTGTTTAATATCATCTCTGGTGTGTGAAATACAAATGTACATACCCTCAATATAAAATAGCCTTTTTGTCATTACATCCATGCTTGTCTATTTGAAATGCCCATAATAACAAATCAAACATTAAGTAATACAGTGATCGAATGCATGCAGTGAAAGTAAGAAAAGATCTGGGAGGGCAAGATGGTGAAATATTGCCATGATATATTTGAAGAAAATCCATATCGAGTTAAAAAGAAACAAACAAAGGAAACCAAGAAACAGACCAGATATAAAAATGCAGATATATTTTCACTTCTGTGATACAAACCATAAACATAGTTTTGTGCAAAAAAAAAAAAAAAAAAAAGAAAAGAAAAAAGATCTGAAAATAAAGTCATCTTACAAAACATCGTCAACAAAGCGAAAGGTATTTTTTAGTTTGTGAAAAAAATACTATTTGATACAAAAGGGACTGTGTTATGTAGTATCACAGTGCTATTATAAAATACATTATTACAAGTGGTTTTGAAATTTGGTTTGCTCACCGTAACGGCCTCAGTAATTATAAAATGTTTAAAATAAATGTTATAGTTCTTTATAAAAAACTAACTTGAGTTTATTTTTTAACCATAGTAATGTTTTTCCAGAGTAGGTATTTTACTGGCTCATGGAATGCTAATTTCCCTTTAAGGGACTCCTAGAAAAACTCAGATTCACTGAAATTGTGTTTACTTAAAATAATAAATATTCTTGGAAAACAATTGATTGTCGTATGATATACAAAATTGTGGTTTGAATCTTCATCATTAAACAGTTGCATAGCAACAAAAGGATACAAATATTCTCCTCTACCTAAAGTTAAGAAATGTAACTTTTGAATCAGCTTATTTATGTCACAGAAATATTTCTTAATTTATCTCCCAGTAAAACTGGATATAGCCAATCCTTTGAGTTCACAGTACCGATAAGTCCATGTTTATTGTTTGAAGATTCAGTGTTTGGGAAAATTGCAACACATTTGGTAAACATACTTCCTTGATTTCTCATCCTAATTGCATTTTTATTTTTATTTTTTTACAAAATCGAAACATCAATGTGCTTCTAATTCTTTTGCATTCTCCTCATCAAGTATCATTTCCAGGAATTATTTTATATCCTGTAAGTCTCTTTATAAGTCTCTTAAGCTGTAAAATTAAAAAAAAAGAGAGAAAGAGAGAGACCTTGAGACACTCACTGTTCTTAGAATAAAGGAGTTATTTTTTAACAAGAGAAAAAATCAAACATAACATTCCTTTCTATATAGAACTTGAAACCCATAAGAATTCTAAACTTGGCAAAAGATGGCTAGCGGGTAAAGTGGCATGAGATGCACGTTTGATGCCTCCCTCCTAACTAAGGTAAAAATGATTATGCTGCTTCTATTCACCAGCTTAAAAAATTCAGTTCACGGTAATCTTTGAAATGAGAACTCAGTACCTGTTTTGGTTTTTTTCTTTTTAAATACTGTCCTATTTTGCAAAATAGAATTCATAGTCTTTGGATTCCAACTAATTCTATGAATAAACTGTCCTAACTTCTGGTGCTGGAATAACATCGATGAACATTTCCAGATCAGAAAAAAAGGTGAGAGAAACTTTAACTAGTTATCGGTGTCACAGAGTTTCCTACTTCCCCAGAGTTCACTGATGGTGAGCAGCCTACACCTTGGGCAACCCCTATGCAGGAGGTTGTAAGCACTGACGCACTGCTCTGCAACCACACCTCTCTTCTTCAATGTTCTCGGTCCAGGGAAGCTCCTGTGAGGCTGTCCCCGTGGGCACCCTTGTTCCTCTCCCATGGGTGCTGATCTAGGCCGAGGGGCCGTTTTCCTGACTGTGCTTCCTTTGGTTCCTCATTTCTAATGCCATGGAGTGAACTATCAACCAACAATCAATTCCAGCATCCGCATCTAGCCTTCTCACGGTCTGAGGCCCTCTATTATTTCAAGCGCTTGTGTAAACACACTGTGGAAAAGGCCTTCGTGATTAACAGAGGAGATTCACAAAGAGGCAAACTCTGCACCTTTCCAAGGAAGCCCCACTGTGTAGAAGGCTTCGGGGGATCTTACACTTGTCTTAGGGCTCGTTTCGAGCTGGGATTTCAAATTTTGCCTAAAGTTTCCTCATTGATTCTGAATATCATTTCCATACAAGTATGCATAGAGTCTAAATTGAATCAACATAATTCCTGAACATCTGTCCTGAAGATAAGACAGCAGGTAGACAAATGCTATGATATATACATTTTGGGGAGAGACCAGTCATGGAGAACGAAGGTAAATACACAAAGCACCGTTTGACTTTCCTTTTTGGTTTGATATTGAATCACAAAATTCTTTTCCTCTTCACTGGTTTGCAGTTTTTAGTACTTGAAACCAGATGTCCCAATCCCAATGCCATGTCATGTATCCCTGATGGAGTGTTAATCCCACTTTTTTTTTTTTTTTTTCTGGCTGGTGTCTGCCCTGCTTGGTAAGACAGTTAAACTTCACAGAAGATACTTGTTGCAATGTCTGCTAAATGAGAACCTTACTTTAATTAAAAAAAAAAAAAAAAAAAAATTTTTTTTGAATTTAAATCTTTTCTCCGGCTTTCTAGTTTTTCCTGTATACCACATTTACAAAAGCCGTGCATTTTACAGTTCTGCGGAAATCATAGATTCGGCGTGTCCGTGAATATTGGCATCTCCTAGCAAAGATGGTTGCTTTGAGTCTATTTTGTAGGGTTTTTGGGATTTGTTGCCAAAAACGGCGATACCCATCCCACCAGGATGATTTGGAATCGACATGTGTGGTAGTAAGGGAATATTGGCTTCCTGGTTGGACCCCGAAGAGGGCAGGCTGGTCACATGACCCGTGCTCGTGGACCCACTGGCGCTGCTCGGGGACCGACTCTTGGGAGGCGGGCAATGCTGGATCACTCTGGGGGGGCCTGCGGGCTGATAGTGGGCGGCTGGAAATGCTGCATATCCGGGAGGTATTGGGTACCCATTGATGGGGATGAATCGCTGGTTCTGAGGTATTGGCGGGCCGATGAAACCAGCAATCTGGCCCTGCGGCGTAATACCCTGGCTTGGGAACATGTAATTGGGGTATCTGGGGTTACTGAGATTACTCACTGGGCTGGCGCTAAGGGAGGTGGTCTGCGTGGTGGCATTTCCTCCCGAAGGGGTCGTGGAGCTGGTGTGACTGGACAGTCCCTCCCAGGAGCGAAGCCGGACGTGAATATCTTTAAATCTGGGTCTCCTGGAAGGAATCTCGTTCCAGCACTCCGTCATGAGGCTGTACATTCTGGGCGGGCAGTCTTCGGAGCATGGCAGCAGCTGTCGTTTTCTTACCATTTCGATCACCTCCTGGTTACTGAATCCGTAGTACGGCTGCAGTCCAAAACTGAAGATCTCCCACAAGACAACCCCAAAGGACCAGATATCGGAATCAGACGAGAATTTGCCATACATGATGGCTTCAGGGGGCATCCAGCGAATGGGCAGCAAAGACTTACTCTGCACCCTGTAGTAATCGGCAGAGTATATTTCTCTGGAAAGCCCAAGGTCTGAAATCTTTACATGAAGCTGCTCCCCGATTAAAATATTGCGAGCCGCAAGATCCTTATGGACAAAGAAGTGACTAGACAGGTACTCCATGCCGGCTGCAATCTGAATCGCAATGTGCAGAAAATCTCCGTGATCCAGGCTGGATTTTACGGTCCCATCTTCGTCGCTGCTACAGCCGACGTCAGAATGCGGGGATCGCATGATAAGGAACTCGTGGAGATCCCCCTGATTCATATACTCGAAAAGCATACACACCGGTTGCTCCTGCGTGACGGCCCCTAGAAGGCAGACGATATTGGGGTGGTGTAGTTCGGCCATCAGGGAGGCTTCCTGTTGAAATTCTGTCCATTGCTGGGGGTTGTTGCAGTCTTTCAAGGTCTTTATGGCAACCAGCTGAGCATGGTCCATGCCTGGGAGATAGAGATGGCCCTTATAGATCTTTCCAAAGGCACATTCACCCAGTTCTTCCATAAAACGTACAGCCGAGAGTGGGAGCTCTTTAGCCTTGCTCTGTATAAAAAGAAGCGACAAGTGTGGTTTAAAACATTTCTTAAGGCAAGACATCTTGGCCTCTGAAAGAAGGGGTGGGGCATATAGAGAGAGGCTCTATAAACCAGACTGAATAAAATACTGTAGGTCTGTAAGTCTTTAAAGTTGTCGGCCGCAACTTGGAGGAGGTACCACAGGCGGCTTCCCGTCACTCCCCCTGCCCCCATCCACATCCCCTGCTCCCAAGGCCCCTTGCTGCCAGAGACTAGAGTCTTGCTAGTGTGGTTCTGAGACCAGCAGCATCGGCATCACTCAAAGCTTACAACAGATGAGGGCTCTCGGGCCCACCCCAGGCCTGCTGGATCAGAATGTGCATTTAACAAGACCCCAGCTGATTTCAGTGAACATTACAGTGTGCGAGGTGTTGCTGCAGGGGATACGGCCCGAATTCTCAGCCTGGCACATAGAGCGTGTGTGATTTGGTCCTAACCCGACTACCCTTGCCACTTCTCTGTATGTTAGCATCACTTTCCTTAAATAGGTCTCTTCAGTGTCCACCCCTGAACACCACGGCCATTCTTGCCTGACAACTCTGTTCGTGCAGTGTGTTCTCATTCTTAGGGTATTTATTGTGCGAAAAGCCAGAGAAACCAGGCTGTCCTCCTGCGGTGCTCAGAGTAGAGGCAGGGAGGTTTGGAACGTGCTCCCCAACGCTTATCAAATCTTGTTCCCTTCGAAACTCTCCCTGACCACTAAGGTCTTTGCCTTCTCTGGAGTCCTTTTGCTTTACCTTCTGAATGCCGCCACACACAGGAGGCAGAGTGAGGGCTGGGTACGTGTGTGGCCTCCCCAGACAATCTGAATCTGAATCCCACCTTTTCCACTTACCAGCTGTGTGGACTCTAGCTACAGTATTCAACCACCCTATGCCTCAATTCCCTCATCTGTAAAATGGAATGATCATAATGGATAATTGTACTTGTAGGGTTCTTTGTGAATTTGTAATGAATTAACATTTGTAAAGTACTCAGCATGATGTCTGGCACATGGTAAGTGCTATTTAACTTTTAGCTGTTACCTTGCTATTGCTATTCTTTTATTTTTTATTAATTAATTAATTAATTTTATTAACATATGATGTATTATTTGTTTCAGGGGTACAAGTCTGTGATTCATCAGTCTTACACAATTCACAGCGCTCACCATAGCATGTACCCTCCCCAACGTCCATCACCCAGCCACCCCATCCCTCCTGCCCCCCTCCACTCCAGCAACCCTCAGTTTGTTTCCTGAGATCAAGAGTCTCTTATGGTTTGTCTCCCTCTCTGGTTCATTTTGTTTCATTTTTCCCTCCCTTCCCCTATGATCCTCTGTCTTGTTTCTCAAATTCCTCATATCAGTGAGATCATATGATAATTATCTTTCTCTGACTGACTTATTTCGCTTAGCATAATACCCTCCAGTTCCATCCACGTCATTCCAAATGGCAAGATTTCAATTTTTTGATGGCTGCATAATATTCCATTGTATATGTTGCTGTTCTTTTAATGAATATTTTGTCCTCTCAATCAGATTTCAATTTCTCTTTTTTTTTTAAAGATTTAATTAATTAATTTATTTGACAGAGAGAGACACCGTGAGAGAGGGAACACAAGCAGGGGGAGTGGGAGAGGGAAAAGTAGGCTTCCCTCAGAGCAGGGAGCCCGATGCGGGGCTCAACCCCAGGACTCTGGGATCATGACCTGAGCCAAAGGCAGACGCTTAACGACTGAGCCACCCAGGCGCCCCCAGATTTCAATTTCTTGAAGGGAGGCATTGCTCTTCATACCAATTGATAACACTACAGCTTCGCAAGTGGGTTGTTTACTAATTGACGTTAAGACAGACAGGAAAAAACACCTAGCTCACAATGGAAATATGTATTAAATTGTCACATTTGGTATTGGCAATAATTTTTGAAATTCACCTCAAATCTAGCCTGAATTCTAGACGAATTTGCTAAGAAACAAATCATAAAAGCAATGCATTTGTACATAATTTTAAAAATAATTCCCTCACTTTAAATTTTTTAAGAAAAAGAAAATGCTCTGAGTATTCATTCCAATTAAAGCTGACAATGTTGCAAATACATACAGAATTCAGAGTTCTCTGTACAGAGTTTAAAACAACAGTTTAGAAGATTAAGTAAAATATTTCTCTAATCCAAACTCTATTAATTTAAAATTCATGATGATTAGCTCTGTTCTGGGCTGATATTTTCCAGGGCAAAATGCCCATTAACCTAATTATATAAGTGCAAATAAACATGCAGCAAAATACTTAAAAGGACAAAATAAAATTGGCCATTTTGAAACACTAATTTTCTCATGCAAATAATATTTCCTATTAGAAATAGGGCTCATTTATTCATTAAAGCCAATCTCAAGGGGTTTGTATTTGGAAATGTCTTACAGGAAAGTTACTTCTGCTGAAAGTAATGGTAACACATTGCTTTAAACATTCAGTAAATTAAAGTTTACTGACCCAGTCCTATTCATCATAGTATTATAGGAGCAAAAGAGTAGAAACAACCTGAATGGGGGTGCCTGGGTGGCTCAGTTGGCTGAGCGTCTGACTCTTGATTTCAGCTCAGGTCATAATCTCAGGGTTGTGAGACTGAGCCCTGTGTTGGACTCCGTGCTGGGTGAGAGAAGCCTGCTTAAGATTTTCTCTCCCTCTCTCCCTCTGCAGCCCTCCCCCCTCTGCTGCTCGTGCTTGCTCTCTCTAAAAAAATAAATAAAATAAAATAAAATTTCCTTTAAAATAAAAAGAAACAACCTAAAGGTCTATCTAGAGGAGACTGGTTGTGTTAATTATGGATTGAACTAATAAAGAGTATTATATAGTTTAAGAATGAGGACATTTTCTATGTACCAACATGGAAAGATCTCCAAAATCTTATTGCTAAGTCAAAAATAAAAAGCAAAAGAACAATTAATGCTGCATGGTGTTTTTGTGTGAAGGGGGAGGGGAAAAAGAATGAATATATTCATGTTAATTTGCATATGTATAAAGAAACTGAAAGGACACTCAGGAAACAGCAGTGATTATGGGGGAATACAGAAGTGGGAACTTGGAGAAAGGAGACAGAGCTGGGAGAGTTTTCACTTCATGCTTTTTTATACTTAAAAACATTTTTTAAAAGATTTTATTTATTTATTTGTCAGAGAGAGGGGGAATGAGAGAGAGACAGAGCACATAAGCAGGGGGAGTGGCAGGTGGAGGGCGAAGCAGGCTTCCTGCCAAGGAAGGAGCCCGATGTGGGACTCGATCCCAGAACCCCGAGATCACGACCCGAGCTGAAGGCAAACGCTCAACCTACTGAACCACCCAGGCGTCCCTATCCTTTAAAATTTTTGAACCAAGAAAAAGTAAAAAAGTAAAAACATATGATCAATCTTTCTATCTGACTGAATATGGAAATTTCTTTTGCAATCACAGGTCCATCCACTATTTTTCCTTTTGCTTATAGGGGTTGGATTCTTATGGGAGCTACGTTGTTCCTCTGGGAGAGCTGCGTGTGGGTGATGGGAAAAGGAACCATTTGAACCAACCCTACTTTTTTCTCTTGTGGCACTCAGATGATTTTGCTTTTGTGGGAAGACTAACCCAAGGTGAATTTCTCCTGCATGATGTTAAGGTTGGGATTTCTATCACAATTTTTCCTAATGATTTATTTTTTTACATATATATTTTTTATTTAAGATTTTATTTTATTTATTTGAGAGAGACAAAGCAAGAGACAGAGCACGAGTGGAGGAGGAGTGGCAAAGGGAGAGGGAGAAGCAGACTCCCCGCTGAGCAGGGAGCCCTATGGGGGGCTCAATCCCGGGACCCTGGGATCAGGACCTGAGTCGAAGGCAGACGCTTAACTGACTGAGCCACCCAAGTGCCCCTTTCCTAATGATATAAATGAATCCAATTTATGTGAGAGTCCCTTGAATGGCATAGTAGGTATTTACTTACTTTTCCACCTAAACAGGATCCCCAGGCTTTGGTGAGAGAGAAGTGTATGTGACTGAGTAATAAAATTTTTTTTGAGGGAAAATCAGAATTTACACTCAAGGAATATTAGACTGATTTAATGAGGAGTTAGGAATACTTTTTCCTGCCCCCGCTGAAACTAATGCATAAGCAGTGCAGGGCATTCAAACTATGTGATCTTTGGAGTCATACCAATCTGAATTTTCATCTTGGACCTGTTGCTTTCTATCAATATTAGTTAATACTTATATAACATTTACTATATGCTAGATACTGTTAAGCACTTAACAAATATTAACTCATTTAAGACAACAATCCTGTGTGGTAGGTCCTATATCTTAGCTGGTTGACTTGGGTGAGCTTCTTCACTTTTCTGACCTCTATTTTCCATATCCATGAAATAATATAATATGCAGCTTCTATAGTTACACTAGGGACTAAATGCAACAATGTATGAAAGTAATTTCCACCTAGTAAGTGATCTTTACATCAATATTACTATCCTTATTATGGAAGTAATCTGGGAAGCGGAGTAAATGCAAATGATTTAGATCCATTTACAGTCTTAAGTAGTTCTAGACAGTTTTCTATAATTCTCTTTATGTTTTAAAAAAATGCATTGAATTTCCTCCTATTAATCTTTCCCTGTTCTCCTGCAGTTGTTGGTTTAAAACAAAAATCTTAAAATCTTAAAAATCGTCAATCTCAAAACAGAGAATCTGTTTTGGAGCCCGAAGGTGGGTCTGATTGGAGTGGCCTGCTCCTCTAGGATTCTGGAAAATGAAGAGGGGTGGAGGGAGCAAGAACCCATGTGGAAGAGTAGATGGTGGCAGATGGGACAAAAAAGCAAGCTGGCCAAACTTCTGGGGACTGGAAGAGAAGAGGGGTGGACAGGACCTTGGCACGGGCCCGACACATGGCCCCTGGGGCTTCATGGCTAAGAAGACCGGCTGCATTCCCCTCCACTGAGGTAAGCAAATTAGTTCTCTTCCATTTGC